CATGTTTAGATAATAAACCCCGATACACACCCACACACACATATACACACAAAACACACCTACACAAACACACATACACACCAAACGCACCTACATAAACACATATCAAATCAAATACTCCTATACGCAACCCCTACATGCACATGCTAACTGCCCCCTAACTTTCATCCCAATCCCCTTTTTCTTTCCACTCACCTCATTCTGCATTTCTCTATCACCATCACTCCTTCAAACCCTTCCACTCTCTGTCCCTCTCGGCTCTTCTCTTTATGTCCCTCGGCTCCCCTTCCACTCACCTCACTATGCATTTCACTTATCACCGTCACTCCTTCCAATCATTCCACTCTCTGTCCCTCTCAGCTCTTCTCTTTGTGTGTCCTTCGGCTCCTTGCCCCCTTCTCTCTATCATCATCAACCTCTCACAGCACGTCACCTCTCCTCCCACGGATTCTCTTACACCTATTCATCCACCGTCCATAATCCTCTAACCGTAACCGACACCTCATCATCCCTCCCTCATTTCTCACTTCTTCTGCTTCCTTTTCTTTCATTCCTCTCATTGTAACCGAAACCTGACCTTCACTCTCCCATTTCTCATTTCCTCTACTTCCTGTTCTAGCTCTTCACTTCGTCCCGATGGCGCCTTTATGTACTTATCAGTATCTTCCACCATAGCTTCCTCTATCTCTCTTCACTCCCAATGTCAATTGACTATTCTACCACCTGCGATCACCCTCCGGTTTCTGATTTCATCAAGTCAATACTTCCACATTTCCATTTCTCTTACTGTTTATTTCTTCCTTCAGTATTTATAACAACAAATTCATATTTCATCATCCTATATTCAATATTTAATTCACCATACCTCCGGTCTCCATTTTTTCGCACTTCTGTAGCTTGCACCGTCGCTTTCTTCCGTCTTCCGCTCGCTCTTCTCGTTTCTTCCCTCTCCGGCTTCCCTCTCTCTCGAATCTTCCATCACCAACTTCCTTATTCCCTTTTCACGTTCTCTATTTTTATTTCCTCTATTTTTTTTCCTTTTTTTTTCTTTTTTTTTCCTTCTCCCTCTCCCACTTTTTTTTCTTCTTTTCCTTCCCTTTTTATACTCCACCTACCACACATCCTGGCCGTCTATCCCCTCTTTCCTCATCTGCATGAATCTTAACCGTCCATTTCCTTTCCACTAATCTATTCTACATTCTACATTCTCCATTTCACAATTTCCTATCTCCTTTATTTTATTCATATATTTGTTTCCTTATATATATATATATATACATATATATCTTTATTTCTAAGTTATTACAATATAATACAGTGTTGATTGAAATAATAAAAACTATATTTTTAAAAAAATTACTAAGACATGTTTTCATGCAAAAACATATCTTTACATGCACCAAAATAGCATAATAGTAATTTTTTATTAGTAGATGGGGGTTGTGGTAACTAAATTGAATTTATTATTAGTCGATATATTGCATTTTTATGTAAAACAAATATGTTGGGTTTATGATATTTTTTTAATTAATATAATTATAACGAGATAAATCTGACCTAACTTTTTTATTAAAAAAATTATGACAAATTATCAAGTTATCTTTGATGTTTAACAATTATTATAATTTAGTCTGTAATATTTTTTTATTATAATTTATTTCGTAAATTTTTTTAAACACCCAATTTCCTTGTATTTTTAATTAAAAATAATAAAATTATTATATTGTGTTTCAATGCTGCAAAACAATTCAAAATAACGACTTTACCTAATTTATCAAATTAACAAATTATTTTGTTATAATCTAGTCAACACTGTTTTCAACACTTAGTTTTCTTCTATTTTTTAATAATAAAACTAAAAAATAGAAATTTAAAATAATAATTTTAACTAATTTAATAAATTAATAATATTATTATACAATATATTATTATTCATTATAAAATATTTTACATTCACAAAATATATTATTTTATTTTATTTATAAAATAAAATATATAAAGAACATGTCTGTAGATAATATCTTTTAACTATTATATACATTTTTAATTCTTTATCATTATCTAATAATAATTTTTTGTGTTTAATTATAATTGATTAATTGAATTAGAATAATTAACTATTTACTCTTATAAATAACACTATTGTCTTTTTAAAATAAAAGACTACTAGTTTTATATTATCATAATAGTAAATACATTTTTTATATTTTTATATTTCAAAACTCTAATATTCTTCGAATATCATATTCACCTTTTTAAATTTTTAAAATCAATCTATTTATATATAGATCTCGTACTTTTATATCATTAAACAATAAAATCTACCATCATAATTCATTAACGATAGATGCACACAATGAATTTCAATGCTAAATTTTATATTAAGATATTAATGATTTATTGGTCATATAATATGAATTTGTGAATAAGCATATCTTAATGTAGGTTAAATATTTAATTCCAAAAAATACAATACATAAGTAAATACAGTTTTTAGAGGTTATTGCTAATTCAAGATAGATTAATTTATTTGATTATATTTTATAAAACCTAACAATTAAAAAAAATAATAAATGAAAAGTATAGATTATAATTAGATATTTAGAAATGATTGAAATTGACATAATGTAATAGGAAATGAGGATTTTAATTGTTAACAAAAAATATGCATATGACAATTTGGTTTAGAGATAAGAACTCCAACTTTAAAGATTATTAGCTTATCTATTAAGTACCATGTTTATATAATTATTGTGAGGTGACAATATAATAATTATTCGTGCTAATAAATTTAACATTATATTTAATATAAATTTTTAAAAATAATGAAAAAAATTACTTTAAAAAACATGTAAAATTACATGGAAACGGCA